GTGAGAGGTTCTTTAGTAAGGCCGACTGATTAAATGAGGCTCTGAAATGAACAGGAATCTAGCAATAATAGCATGGAGAGTGGGGAAAATCAAAACGCGGAATAATAATCTAACTCTAAGTTAACGATAAACTGGTACAGAAATCAAAAGTCTAGGAGTAGGAAATAACTGTGAACCAAACAAACAGAATGGCACCCGTGCATGATATGTTAAAATATGTACCGTTCTAGGATGCCTCCGCAAACTTTTGCTCCTCTGTAAATGCACGTGTTAGTGCTGTAGCGAAAGCTATGTAGTCGATCAGACTTCAAGTTACGTGTTCTTATTAGGGTGAGAGGTTCTTTAGTAAGGCCGACTGATTAAATGAGGCTCTGAAATGAACGGGAATCTAGCAATAATAGCATGGAGAGTGGGGAAAATCAAAAAGCGGAATAAATAATCTAACTCTAAGTTAATGATAAACTGGTACAGAAATCAAAAGTCCGAACACGGAGTTTAGGAGTAGGAAATAGCTGTGAACCTAACAAACAGAATGGCACCCGTGCATGATATATTAAAATATGTACCGTTCTAGGATGCCTCCGCAAACTTTTGCTCCTCTGTAAATGCACGTGTTAGTGCTGTAGCGAAAGCTATGTAGTTGATCAGACTTAAAGTTACGTGTTCTTAAGAGGGTGAGAGGTTCTTTAGTAAGGCCGACTGATTAAATGAGGCTCTAAAATGAACGGGAATCTAGCATGGAGAGTGGGGAAAATCAAAACGCGGAATAAATAATCTAACTCTAAGTTAACGATAAACTGGTACAGAAATCAAAAGTCCGAACACGGAGTCTAGGAGTAGGAAATAGCTGTGAACCAAACAAACAGAATGGCACCTGTGCATGATATGTTAAAATATGTACCGTTCTAGGATGCCTCCGCAAACTTTTGCTCCTCTGTAAATGCACGTGTTAGTGCTGTAGCGAAAGCTATGTAGTCGATCAGACTTCAAGTTACGTGTTCTTATTAGGGTGAGAGGTTCTTTAGTAAGGCCGACTGATTAAATGAGGCTCTAAAATGAACGGGAATCTAGCATGAAGACTGGGGAAAATCAAAAAGCGGAATAAATAATCTAACTCTAAGTTCTCCACTACCTGAATATTGATCGGGAACAGGTTAGCCGCGTATGTGGAAAGAGTGAGTTAGATTATAGGTAACAACGGGTAGTCTCAAGCTACCCGTCTTTGCACCGTAACTTAGCCATCTGATCTAGAAGAGGAAGGGAGGTTATCATCTACACATACTGTATTAGGAAGTTAATCGTGTCCTAGCTACAGATCATACCTTATTAAGAAGTTTATCGTATCCTGAAAAAAATACCTTATTAGGAAGTTTATCGTGTCCTAGAAACAGGCCATATAACAGAATTATCACTTTCTCCTCCTCCCAATCCACAGTATTCCGGAGTTTCTGCAACGTCACTAAAACTGCAAAACATTGTAAGTTCATATGTAGATTCTATAAAAGGTTTGAATTAAAGCAGAGAGGTTAATAAGCACTTATCATATTTAGATTATAGTTCAGTCAGTTTTTTTTGAGACGCCTCCATGAACCACCACGGGGCGACCTGCCCAGTAGTAAGAGCTGCCCAGTAGTAAGAGCTGCAGGAAATCACAAAAGCAATGAGGAATGTTGAAATTAAATGACTTTTGTCATTTATGGGTGCTTGTATAATAATTTTACCGCAAGATTTTGATAATCTTTGTAATAAACTAGTGCAATGATTGGACAAGTCACAATCAACAATGATAAAAGTGTTTTATATAAAATAACCTAAAGCGAGAATGTCGTTAGTTAACTATAAAATACAGTACCAAGCGATGTATTAAAGTAACACAATTATACTCGTTCTAATTGATATTAGCTTACTTTGATTCAACGAAAACCTACCTTTTATCTGCTTTCGTGAAATTCAAAAGTGATGTTAAAGTAACACGAGCCCTTTAAAGCTTGCAGGGGTTCCTCCTATTATCGTTGATCAATTATGTACCAAGTACACTATGTAATACAGCAAAGTCGTCAGTCGATAACTGCTGTTAAAGCCATGAAAGTTCAAAGCGAGTGCAGAAACAAGAAATGGCGCGAAATCATAATGTTCAAGCCACACGTACAACGTATGATCTGCATTATGCTCCTTCATCAACTAATTCTAGTTTTAAACGATTTTGACACGCTAAAATGCGCGCGTGGATTTGCGCGGCGCGTAGAAAAATTTTAAAGCTGTCGGATAGAGGTTAATAAATTTTTCTACTGTCAACACAGCCCAAGTTATTCATGTTTTAATATCAAAAAATGTCCGATTTTTTTGTATTATTTTTAACTAATTTCCTTTTCAAATCGCTGCCACATCAAAATTATTTTACGAAAGTACATTAAATTTTCACAGAAAGCAAGCTCAATCGTTTTAGAACTAAATTAAAAAAGAATTTAATATAAAAATGTTAAAACTTTAAAATTATCGATGGAATAAATTGCCAACGTCCAAATGTGTGTAAAATACGACGAAGGGAGGTCACAACACTGCGCGCAGGAGTGCCCTAGGATGTGACTAACGCGCGTGGAGCTAGTTTGTCATACTTTGTATGACCCGCCGCGCACGAGTGCGCGGCTCCCCCTGTATCGTCGAAACTCTACTATAGTGAAGCGACCGTGGGGGTCACCACGTGATACAAAAGCTAATAGGGTATTTTTATGGTCCAAACTTAAATTTTTAAAGAATTAAAAGTAGCCGTATTGATCCTTCAAACCTACAATTTTAATGAACAATGAACTAAAATGAGCTGTATTCCGCCCTTAAACTCAAAACTGCAACTTCAACTGAACTTATACCTTTTATTTCATGATTGGGTCGTAATTCAAAATTTAATTTGACAAGAAGTGGGGCTCATCGGGTCACTGCTTAAAATTACTATTTAAAAAACATATTACTATAAATGATATCAAAAAATTTATAAGACTGAAATTTTGATTCACGATGTCAATCTTTCGCATTTCGCCGATTTGCATAAGATCTGGTTGCGAGAAGCATTATTGGATGCGCGCGCGACCCAGTAGTGCATCGCGCTACAAACTGAAATTTAACAGCAAAATAAAACTACAAATTTAGGTTTCTGGCGGGCCGTGCATATTTACAATAGTGCACCGTGCATATTTCAACGAATTTTTCCTTACTACGAAAATTTCGAGCGCATTGTCAAAATCCGTCGAATTTTCAAGATGGTAATTACGGGCCTGCTAAATCACATTACAGTCGGAGGTGGTGTCTTGTTGACATGAAGAAGAAGAGTATTGGCGGAGAATTATTTTACCATAATTTTGATTGTAACGAATGGCATAAAATTGAATTATTGATTGTTTGACTGATTAATAGTAAAACAAAATTTTTTAGTAAAACAAAATTTTTATTTACCACAAAACAATCGATACATATTTAATATTATTATACATTTACAAATAAATCTAAATTTAAATTCAGCTATATACACAATACACAGCCCGCCGCGCAGACAGCCACACATTGCTGAGAGATTCTTAGGTGCAGATGTAAGCGCCGTGCGCGCGAGGTTTTTTATCTTACAATTACACGTTACGTATATTATTAATTATCAGAGAATTTTAGAAGCAAAATAATAATTGCATATTGGGAAAATTTCGGTCGTTAACGCAGTACAGGGCGTGGACACTGCAATGCTAATAACGGAAAATTCGGAGGCACGAGTTTCATTCAGATACCCAATTTATAAGTGACATGTACTTGTATTAAATTTAGATAAATGTTAGCAATAATCGACGTTAACATTGTGCAACTGTAAACTGCAAAATGTTAACGTCGATTATCACCAAATCACATCTAGCAAGTTACTAATTCTTTGCACAATATATGTTACGTCACTATAGCATATGTCATTCATATTGTACGTTATATAAGATAAAAATAAACATTTTATAATTGTTTCAATGTTCAACACTGCTAAAAAACAAATGCCTACTAGCTTGCCCATCGATTAAGCAGTCGCCAAAACAAGGCTCAAAGTTAATTTACCTTCACACCTCGTTTTGGAGACTGAAGGATGTCAATAAATAAATAATGGATAATATTAATACTGAATATGATGGATAACAGTGATTTCTCTCCGTGGAGACAGAGGTGCAAGAAAAAACATTGTTGATATAAACAGTCTAGATCTTAACTTGGAGCCACAAGCCCAAGGGTAATTTTTGATTGTTAAGGGAATTTTTTGAATTCTTAAAGGGTTGATTTTATATAGGGTCATCGCTATATTATGTGTATATTGTTTGAATAATTTTATTAATATGATGGATAATCAGTAATATCAATAAAATCCACTATCACTAATCATGTTTTCGATGGGCAAGCACTCGCAACTGGATGCCGAAACAAACGGCGCAAGTCTTGCACCGTTCATGCAGCATACGTCGCAAGATATCATGAGCTCCGTTAATGATCGACTGAAAAATCTAGCTTGCTTTACCAAGAAATTAGAATGCCATAATGCTCGAAAGCTTTTTTTTATCAAGATGCCGTGACCCGCCATATCGAAAGCTTTACTAAAATCAACGAGCACCGAGAGTAATATTTCTCTATTGTTCAGGGAGTTGGTGAACCAGTTTTGTCCATTTAGTTTTGCATGCCTACAAGATTGGCTGGGTCTGAACACGTATTGGCCATCAAAAAGTGCGTTGATAGATTCAAGAAAATTAAGGATTGAGTTTACAAGTGTACTCCCAACGTTCCTTTGTATTGTTTTTTTAACTCAACCCATTGCATGTTCATTGCATGTTCATTGCTTCTTTGAATTAAATTGTTCATACTCTGACGTTAGATCATCACTTTTATTACAGTTCTTTTATTACTGTACAATAGATATTAATTTGGTGAATAATTTGCCAACTAATGGCAAATTTTAAGTATACTTATTAAATTGTAATCAAGCTGAAAATCAAGCTGACTATCAAATTATTATTCAGGATGAAGGTTGGAATTGCCCTAGTTCTCACAAGCCTCCTCTGTATTTGCTGCAATGGACAAGTTGTAGAAAAATGTCGCACGGACACATTTCCTCCCCCAGATGACACTAAACTGTCTACTGTTGTCGTTAATCTCAACAAAGCACCTGAACATCGATGGGATGAAGCTATTACTCCTTACAAAGCTGATATTGTGAGCCTGATTGAGACCATCACTGGTAGGAAATTTCATCCATTATTAATGCTTCTATTATATTATCAGAAACACTTTCTATGACCCCTCATATTGTTAAGTTAAGTTCATATTTAAATTCAAACGTTTTACTAATTTAATAATCATTATGTTTTCTTATTCAGACAATGTGAATAAATATGTTCTTGAAGTAGCTGACATTGCATTTGATCTACTGCTGCAAACACTTCCAGATCCATATAAATCAGAAATAAAGGTATGTCCCAGTATAGATAGTTGTTTCTTTCGTACAATAGTCTCAAAACGATGTGACCTTGATCAAATTGTCTTAGACTTCTGTAACAGTGCTCTATAGAAAGGCGAGAAACCAGACCAATGGTCAATTGCCAACTGAAATAACTAAAATGAAGCAAGCTGGAACATAAAGCTTGTGCAGGAACCATGATTTACTTGATGATTGCTATTGCTCTGGCTAAGCTTGTCTAGAAGTATTAATTTTTGTTTTTCATCAGGGAGTTGCAAAGATACTTGGACTACCTGAGGGACAAGTTGTACTATACAACATATTCTATGAGCTTTTCACTGTAAGTTTTACATCGTTATTTGATGGTACATAATTACAGTGTGCCCAACTGGACGACTTAAGATTTTGTTTCTCATAAACGCATGATCACAGTATCATATATCTAATGCAAGTTTAATAGCCATCTTATCTCTAGGTTTGTACATCTATTATTGAAGAAGATTCCAATGGACAGCTCTACCACGCCAGGAACTTAGACTTCGGTCTCTTCCTCGGATGGGACAATGCAAATGACACCTGGCTTATGAGTGAACGTCTCAGAAAGATTGTTGTCAATATTGACTTCCAGCGAGATGGCAAAACTGTCTATCAGGTCAATTTTATTTCATATACAACTACTTATAATATAACGTATAATAACTGCTTTTTTCTCCCATCAATCAGAAAAACAAAATTATGCCATCATAGAATATGGTTTCATGAATATAATTTACAACGTTATTTCAGTCTGCATCATTTCTTGGATACGTTGGCCTGCTAACTGCTGTGAAACAGCCACTATTTACTCTAACTATAAACGAAAGATTCAACAAAGAGGGTGGTTTCGTTGGAATATATCGCTGGATCCTGGGAAACAGGCGAGTTGTTTTATAACACCAAAATCATATAATATAAGTGTACAGAACATGATGAAGATACGTACTGTATTCCCTATTCAATTATCAAATCAATCCCTACAAAGTAACACATTCATACTTGTTTAGCTGTAAAATATCTGATCTCAGGAACGCTAAATGGATGGGATTCCTGACCCGGGATGTTATGGAGAGCGCGAACAGTTACAGCGAGGCTAAGCACATGCTGAGTACCCAGGAGCTACTTGCTCCAGCATACTATATTCTGGGAGGGAATAGTACTGGGGAGGGTGTTATCATTACAAGGGGACTCAACGGAGTAGAGGATTATCAGGTAAACAATGCAATGTCACATTTCTGTTTGTGGACTTGATTTCAATCAGATTTTAATTTTGTACTCATTTGTAAGTTTAAAAAAGTTTATTTTGAAATTTTGTTGCATTCTTTTATTGCATTCTTTTCTTTATTTACCTCAACTGAAGTAGCGTGTGTTGTCAGGAGCTGAACATAACGTCTGGTCGGTGGTTCTTGCTCCAGACAAACTATGACCCTTGGGATGAGGCACCTTTCTTTGACGACAGGAGGACCCCTGGTAACATGTGTGTCAAACAGTGGGGTCAAGAGAACGTTGGTACGTAATAAAGTCAATCTAGTCACGTTACAAAGAAATTGAGGACACAAAAATAAACGAAATTTTGGGTGTACACTGCCACAGCATGTTTTACCACCTAATCTGAACCTTTCCTAGGATACAAGTCACTGTTCAATGTGTTGAGCACTAAACCAAACCTGAACAAGCTAACAGTGTACAGCACTGTCATGACTGTCAGAGGTGATATCCAGAGCTGGCTACAGCAGTGTAAAACACCTTGCACACCCTGGTAAAACACTTTGGTAAACACCTTGTTCAGTGTACAATGTACAATGTACAGTGTACAGTGTGCACCTTGTGTGTACAGTCTGGTGATTTGAAAAGTGAAGGTTGGGATAAGCTAGGATCAGCACAGAGCCTGGGCATCTTCTTATCGATTATGGTCCGGATGAAGGCTTTCAATTTGCGCAACGCACGCTTAGTAACCCTTAGTAACGCTTAGTAACGGGAACTCTTTTGTTATTGAACTGAATGTTTTGTGTGGAGTGACGAAATTTAATATAATGTGGCCTATCAGAATGATACGTTTGATTTTTTAGAACGTTTTTAGCGGTAAGATTGATTTTTGTAAAGTTCATGATTTCGTAAGTTTTGATGTTTGATAGTTTTGGATTTTTATGATTTTCTAGCTTGCAAAATTTTTCCAATTTAAGACAGATTTCAGACTGTTTGGACAGATTTCAGTATTTTTATAATTGATTTATTTGTTTTTCAAAATTGTTGAGTGTTTTACAAAATCTTAGTTAATATAAAGAGTTTAAATGACTATCAATTATCGGTTCAATGATAAAGAACATAGTGCAGAAAGACAGATTATTATATCAAGATAAATCAAGACTGAGCCTTAACTTTCACGCATGTTTTACTTTTTAACCTTGATACGAAAGTTTGGAATCAAAGTTTAAACATTGTAATGTACGTAATCAATTAAAATTGAATAATGATTTCTTTTCAATACGGTTGTTAACTTGAATATTCTCGACGTTTGTTCAAATACAACATCTAATCAGTAATTCAGACAGTTCATTGTATCAAGAATAATTTTATGATTGCTTTAATACTAATAACCTACCTTATCAGAAACATGGCTCCGAAAGTGACAGTACCGTTAGATTTTGGAATAGAGAACCTACACTATGAGTTTCACGGTAACGTGGTCCTAAAGTTACAAGGAGGAGAGGAAAAGAGAGCAAACTCCCTGATCCTGTCTTACCACAGTTCAGTGTTTGTTCACCTGTTCCTGGAACTGCACCAGACAGAACTAGAGATGGAGGACTTTGCGGGGGAAGCGGTGAAGAGGTTCCTGGGGGCCCTGTACAGCGGGGAGATCCTGCTGGAGAAACACTTGTTCAGAGATGTTAACAAGCTGTGTCACGTCTTCAAAGTAGAATGGTTAGCAGGGAGGTGTGGGGACTACTTTACCAGCCTGGTGGGTGGGGTGAGTCCCTCCTCTGATTACCAGACTTTGTTGTTCTTGTTTGAGGAGGCCAGGTTTTGTAGCAGGGTCATGAAATGTGACAGGTTTCTAGACCTGCTCCTAGAGAAGATTTATAGTCTGGAGAACAGAGCTGAGATATTTGTTGAGCCCTTTATGAGGAATTACTCTGAAGTAGAAACTAGTCAACTAGATTTAATTTTGCAGATTACAAGGAGTAATCCTGTTATCTTGTTGAAGATAATGCAGAAAAATATAGAGAGTGAGGGAAAGATGTTTGATGAAGCTTCTCGTTACCTCCTACAGAATGTTGATCTTTGTAAATGTATTTCTGAAGATGAAGCTTCTTTTGAAGAATTGTTTGATGTTTTAGATAGTGCTACACAATCATCTGACTCTGATGCATTATTTGTGAATAAGTTGTACAAGAAGTCAGTGAAGGAGTTTAAGAAAACGGTGAGTTTGAGTTCCTCTTCGCCATCAAATACAGTTTTATCTGCACCTGTACTTCCCCAAAGTACAACAGAAGCTTCTTTTGAGGAGGTGCTTGATGTTTTAGATAGTGCTCCACAATCATCTGATGCTGATGCATTATTTGTGAATAAGTTGTACTGGCGATCTACGAAAGAGTTTAAGAAAACGATGAGTTTAAATTCCTCCTCGACATCAAATAATACCTGGATCCATCCTGAATCTGCATATCCTCAAACAACAACAGAAATTCCCCACATATTTTGCTCATATGAAAGATTTCGTCGAATGAGTACCCAGGAATATCTTAATGCCGCTAAAGAATCTCCTCTTGTACTAAATTTGTATATGCTGATTGAAGGGCTTCTTCTGTGTGATGAATATCTTACCCCTGACATGGTACATGAAATAGAGATGGTTCGTCGTAAGAGAGGATGGAGCAGAATATCGCCTGAATTCCTTGATTCGTTGGATGATTCAGTCGCATTAGATCATGCATTAGAACAAAGCAATGATCTCACATCTATGGAAGAGAGTGTTAGACTAGTTGGAAGAGTAGTTGGGACGAACAAAAAGATGTTAAATTGGAATTCTTGCACAATCAAAGATTTGTTCGAGACGTCAAAATGTTATGCCTTTTATTTCGAGCACCCTGACACTACTGATTGTCATCTTCCTGGAAAATGTGGATTTGTTCTTAAGTTTACCCCAGATATGAAATCAGGGCAACCCGACAAGTTCAAAGTAAACCTTTGTTTAAATCAGGAAGAATATCCTGAGGGACTTCATATTCATCCTGAGGTTGTGAAAGCTGACAAAATTCATTTGTTGCCTATGTTTTATGAACGATATGATAACGATATACAGCCTGACATGTGCTACTGCTTAGCAACGTTTACGTGGAATGAGTTGGGTATAAGTGAGGTAACTGGTGAAGGTTACTCGTTAACGTGGAAAATTGGTCTCTCACTTTTAGATCCTTTTAGTAGTTTGAAGATGGTGGTATTTATAACTTTATAACAGTCATCGCATAAAAAATAATTCTCACACAAGTTTTTAAAGGTGTAGCTGTTGATGTTAGAATTTCAAGAATAACAAATGAAATATAAAAATTGTAATTTTAGTTTTAAATATATAACTTTGTTGTTTTAAAAAATTGAATTTTGTGAATATTTACTCTTTTTTTTCTCAAAGTTTGCTCTTATTTCCGTTCTTGCAAAATATGTATTTCTCAAGATGAAGCTTCTTTCGAAGAACTGTTTGATGTTTTAGATAGTGCACTACACAATCATCTGATTCTGATGCATTATTTGTAAATACATTGTACAGGCGACCAATGAAAGAGTTTCAGAAAACGATTAGTTTAAATTCCTCTTTACCATCAGATAATGCCGTCCTCCTGTTTGCGAAACAATTGCCTTAAAATTAGTTAGATATTAACAACTTGTGTAACAAAACACCACAAAACGGCTTTATGGCTATGCTATCATAATGAGCCGAAATCATTGTTATGATATCCGGCCAAGCACCTTCTAAACTACTTACTATTATAGAGTTATATTCGATCAATTTCTAAATTTTATCACTATCAGAGTGGAATTTGAATTAAAATATTGTCAAATTGTTATTATTCTGGAGGGTAAAAAAGAAAATGTTGATTACGTAATCAACGACCAAACCCCCCGCCCCCGTAATCAACCGTAAGCATTTGGAAACCCCTCCCCTCTCGGCTGATTACGTAATAATATGTAAACGACCCCATAGGAAAATATTGTTATATCAGATATCAAGGAATTAAGATTGGACATATTTTGTCTGTAAGACGTTATATAATACCACTCCCAGCAGAACTATATTTAATTTATCATCACTTATAAAGCAGCATGTCAAGAAGCAGTTTGGCACAACACAGCAAGCGAGCACTGCGCCACTGTTTACCACAGCACAACAAGACACCATTGCGCGCCAACCTCTGCGTAGCAAACAGGAATGCGGGAACTATTGCCCAGAAAACAGAGAATGCGTTTCCTTCCACTTCTTTTTATAGGTAATATGAATGAGTTTTATAGGTGTGAGGTTATGATGGGATCTAGCGTAAATCAATTGTAATGTTAGTCGAGGTTGTGTATTGGAGATATCATCAATTAAAACTTTTAAAGACTTCACATACTTATTACTTAATTATGTTAATTCATTCATTAGCTGACTAATTATCCTACTAATTCTCAGGATCTCGCCCACCACCCAGACTCAAATAGTGCCACATGACGTGAAAGCTGCTGCTATCTCTAAAGCTCTCTATATCGACTGTCTGCCTCCTGGTAGGTAATAGGGTATAAAGATAGCCACTAGATATAATATATACTATATAATAGTAGTCACTAATAGTGACTACTAAATATATCTAGTGAAAATACTAATAGTAGTCACTATTAGTATTTTTGGGAGGGAGGGCCGAAAATGGCAGAAAACTTGATGCTCGTTCCCCAACCCTGGTCACGTTTTTAAGAGTCTTTTAAATAATTATCTCCCGGATGAACAAATGAACAGTGGAGCAAAGAACATAGATATCAAGTAAGTTCTTCGTCTCTGTCTCTTTTGCTGCAATGATTAGTTATAAATTTACACTTTACAGGTGTGGCAAGTCAGGAATCAGATAAAGATTTTCACAAAACATTCAAAAAGGCAATATTGGAAACATTCTCTTTTTCTCCAACACAAAGACACATGCCTCTTGGTAGAACAAGGTAGTGATATTGATTTTATTGTTAATACTAAGTCTTTTTTGGTATGATTTTAATATCAAAGCATGTACTAAACTCTGGAATTTAAATATTGTTATTATTTATTTTAATCTTTCTGCTTACTGCTGTAAGCTCAGTTTCAACTAAATAGACAGATAGACTAATATAATGTTATATTTAACATTTATCATGATTAGTAATCGAATATTTAATCGATAAATTACAAAGTAGATGAAGTGTTCTAATGATTTCAGAAAGCCATGTGACGATGTTGTAGAAAGCATCTTCTCGGAGATTCTCAAGTATTTCTACACGAAAGTAGACAGGAAGCAATATAGATACATGGTGGACAGGGACGCTTACTTTCAGCACCCTTTCTTCAGGACTCTCCCTGATGAGAGTGTACCTGCTCCCTTTCTTATTGACGGACAACTCACGTTAGTTACTTTATTTTCTTTTTTCTAGTAGTTGAAACTGCTTGAACTGGGAAGTCCTTTTTTTTGTTTTATATTTTTGTTAATATTTTATTGTGTTCAGCAGAGTAGGGTCCAGTTTGTTAGATAAGGCCTAGACTGTAGTTCATTACTATAATCGTGCATGATAACTGCATTATCTTAAACCACCATTTTCATTTGACTCAATTCTCTGATTTATTGAACTGCCCAGCTCAATCCTTACTTCCTTAACATATTATGATCTCTGACATGTGATCCCTCATTTCTGACATGTGATCCCCACACTCCACAGGTACAGTATTCTGAGTGACACTCCTGCTGCTCCCCTCTTCTCTGTAGAACAATGTGAACAATCTGCCGACCACGCAATACAATGGCCTGATGTCATAAAGTCTACTTTGGATATTGAGCAGGCATTCCACCCTGAAAACATCATACCAGGTTACATTCTTTACATTTATATACAGAATTATTCGTTGAGAATATGGTGAAAGTTTATAACTGTTAGCACTTCTCAATAATTCTTTTAAGTTAGATAATCTATTGAGATCATGCGCATGTTTGACGTCACACCTTTATCAGATAAAATATCGAATTTATCTGATAACTGTTATCAGATTATTTGCAGCTACAGCACTACTCGGCTTACAAACATTCTACTATCTTCTCAAATTTCTCTATAAAATATCCATTTATAGAGTTTTACAGACTGCATCTCGAAATTACATTAGCTGAAGTATTTTATCTACTCTATTCGAAGTGGAACAAACTTTTCGTATCTCTTATTATATGTTTTAAAACTAATCCCCTCGAAGTGGTTTTATGTTTCTGTAATAACAGATCTAGAATATCCTGAAATAGAACTAAATATTGTTAACAGTACCCCCTCACACAGGTTCAAGTGCAGCAAGTTTACCTCACTTCCCCTACACCAGAGTAATCCTGGACTCTGCACCCGGCGCAGAATGGAGTGACACCAGCCGTGCACGTGGTATATACTTTCTGTTTGCGCGACTAGCTAGCGAGGCCATCCGAGACGGTTACCAACCAGGGGATAGATTAGAAACTCCACGTGTGGGAGTTTACATTAGCAGCTCTGCGTATAGCTATCATTTTGTGTTTTATCAGCTCAATACTCTCGATCTTATCAGTCCTGACGGGGTGAAGAACTTGGCTTGGGGCCAAACTGTTGAAAATATCACTACTAATCTTATGCCCTACATGAAGGTTAATCCTGAGAATTTGTTGGGACCTGCAGTTTTAGAGGAAGTCTGTGATCTTGTTAAATTGACAATGTTATATGATTTGCCCCTTAAGAAGGGTGTGACTGTTGAGTGATTAACATTTTCTTTTGATAGCTACGATATTTCATCGAGTTTGTTTCAGTTTGCTTGGGCTGAATATTATGATGTAGCAAAAACCGATTGTCAAACTTTAAGTTTATTCTATATCGAGTGGATAACTTCATTATGTGAATATTTATGGATTATGGTCAGGAATTTTTGAGAATGTTTGTCCTATAAATTCCCACCACCCAACAGCTGTTGTTGTAAAAATGTTACTGATCTTCTGCGTCCTTATTTTTAACCAATTTTATTGTGTCAAAGCCATTTAGACACCACTTAGACAAATATAGGAAACTAAATTAGTAAATGCTTTATTATAAGTATTAAATAAAATAACGATTGATATTTGATATTAAATAAAAGTAACAAGGAATAGTTAAAAACAACGCACAAGTCTAATCTTTCCAAATGTGGCTGTTCTTAACAACATAATCAACTTAATACGATCTGAAATATTATAACATCAATTGGCCCGAATAACATTTAACATGATTCAACTTATAGTGTGATTTATTAACAATCAATTCTTCATTTATAAAATTATCGACCAACCCTGCTCTATATCTTTAAATCTGCACCTAACATTATTCCGGGTAAATTGGTAACGGAAAGTTAGGATCTGTAAAATTAGAATAATTTGCCATTGCAAAGTCCTCTTTATAAAGCCCATAAATCTTATCAATAATCTCCTGATCGATCTCACTAAGCCACTCCTTGGCTCGTTGTGTAGAAGTCTGTTTCCTTGGGTCACTAGCACTATCATATGACCCTGAGAGGTCCACCGTACAGTTTATACGACTCCAAATGTCCTTATCTACAATGTTGGAGTACTCCAGAGGTACAATGTAATCATACCGACCCTGAGGAATGCACAACATCTCATGTTGGGTGGTGAAATGATTGTTATCAGTCGTGTTGTATCTTATCAGATACCTCAGGAACTCCTCGAATGTGGGATACAGATATGACAACCGAAACTGGTCTGTCTCACCACGAATCTCCCTCACTATGTCCATTCCTATGTCTCTCTTTTCGTTCCCAGCTGAGGGTTCGCCAGAGAGCTTGTCCCTGTATCCAGACACCATCCTCGTCCAAGGGTTTCTTATCACTGCAAAACTGAAATCTTCCTTTATCCCCTTGTTAGAATTTATATATTTCATTCTGTGCTTCATGGAGATTGTACCATGAACTTTGAAAAGTTCAGTGTGATCGAATTTTTTGGTTAGCGTACCCTCAGCTATCATCAGAGCTTCTATCCAGTTAGAGCACCCTGATTTAGGCACCCCCGTGAAAATAGTCCGGATATTTGTGAAATAATAGGTCTGTGCCAGGTGCTCACACTCAAACCAATCACTAGGTGCATTATACTGAACCCCTAACATTGTCTGTGCCTTCTCCATTTGAGCGTGCAGCCAGTCCTGAGGAGGTGGGGCTGAGAAATAATCTATTTTCTGGTTCATCTTCTGTAAAGGGAGCTGGTCTGGTGTGGTCCTGGAGATTGGTGGCCACCAGCTCAATACTTGATTTGATGGTTGTTGAGGTGGTGATGTTGAGTTGGGGTAGGTTAATGATGATCAGCATGCTGAGGGTTACCAGAGAGATGAGCAGAAAGCATCTGTTACTGGGGAAACTTCCTGAGTTCACCATTGCACTTCCTGGGGGAGTGTCACTGTTAGGTGTTATTATATGATATTAGCCTTTAGGTGTTATACAGGGTGTTTCAAAAATAATGTCCTGATTTGTCATGTCAATCGCCAAAATTGTAGGTTTTGGGCAGGTGAGAACCCCCATGCAACAGTCGAGTCGCCTATCACTAGAGAGAAAGTCACAGCTTGGATGTGAACCCCATTTTTCTCAAAATTCGACTTTTTGGAACAGAGCAAAAAAATTAACAAAGTTGTATCGCTGGAACAAATGAGCTTAACAAATTAAATTTGAAACACCCTGTATTTTAAATTGAAAGCAATAGAAACCTGAGCAAATGACTTATGACTTCTTCGCCGAGCTTGGTTTAAAGAGAATTATAGTGTTTAAAAGCTCTAGGTCACACTTTTAAATAGAATTGAATTAGGTTTAACAAACTAATTGTTAAAGACACAACGGGTACTCCTTTTACATTAACTAATAACTATCGTATCAAATGGAAACGTAACTGCAAGGATACTTATTGCCGTTTCAGACATCTATTTCTTAACTTAAAACAATAACTCATTAAAACATGCATGCGCGCTAAAAACAAATTCCTTAGTAGACAACCACTGGGAGGCGTGTCCAAAGCGGCCCTTCCAAAACAATAAACAGAGCAGCTGCTTAGCCACTAAGCACCACATACTATTATACGACGGTCCCACTACATCCACTCTCCGTAATTAAACAATGATCGACACTGATCATTGTGATGATTAATCATACTTATGTTGGGTATAAAACTTAGGGTTATGTTGCACGTTAGTATACCAATAATATGGGTTATAATATGGAATTATTACTAATATTGTTATATTGTCATAGAATTACCCTGAAATGTTGTTCCTATGCGCATGGTTTGTTTTTACATGGACCATTCACTACTAGCACTACAAACTCTTATCATAAGTATTTTAGTAGGGTTATGCCTGAAGCTGTTGCAGTCCGAGATGATAGTGTTGCCAAAACTGATACAGGTATGATAATAATAATAAATATACCGCTTATGATACTACTATGATAGATAGTCTATCAGATTAACTGATTGTATACGTACTTCATCGAAAGAACAGCAATAGTAATACCAGCTGCTACCAAGTTGTACCACGAAAATTGGAAAAACGATTGAAATTCTAGACCTCCATTAACTTCTAATTTCTATATTACTGCTACAAGGGTACTACAACAAAAGCCGTCATCACTTCATCAGTGACGTCATCACTTTATCGGTGACGTCATCACTTTATCAGTGACGTCATCACTTTATCAGTGACAATAGAGACTACCCTCATTATACATCCCAATAAACTGTTTTGACGGTATTCATAATTACTATAGCATAGTACTGTTGTATGAAACTTGATTTTATTTACTTATAATTAATTAATTTCTGCCAGGTGTTGATAAGGCAGATATCGGTAAAGCTGTAGTGGGTATAATCTACCCTCCACCGGAATTGAGAAATATTGTTGATAAGACCGCCTCGTTTGTTGCTAGGAATGGTCCTGACTTTGAGACCCGGTCAGTAGGATTTGATAAATATATTTTAAGTTTCTGATAATAAAACCCGATTAGATGTACAGTCATTAAAGTCTAAATTTATTGTAGACATTTAAAGAATTTAAAATAACCTTATCTACTAGGACTTATCGCACTATTTCTGTCTATCGTGCTTAACGCCGCATTTACTTTGTCTCTTTGAAAATCTAAGGAATAACAAATATCATTGCTACCAGAAATGTTTCGAAAAAGTAACTTCAATCCTCCCAGAATCAAAGACAACGAACGAGGGAACAGAAAATTCAACTTCCTGAAGGAAGGAGACCCCTACCATGCGTACTACCTGCACAAAGTCAAGGACTTTATAGAGGGTAAAGCTCAGGAACCTGCTGCCCCCCAGCTCCCTGCTGTACCCCAACAGTTACAGGGGAAAATGCCTGTCCCGGTATGTGAGGAGTCGTTAGCAAACTTTGCTATTGTTTTCTCGTTTTAATAGTATAATTATCATTTAAATATAGAGAATAAAGATCGTGAAGAGTTAATTTAATGCTTTAAAATATGAATGCAGCACCGTTTAACGTTATTTAAGAGAAAACGAACAGGACGTTTGCTAATAAAGAAAAGAAAAAGTACAATAATTGAATTAATGAGAATAATGAACAGTATGGAGTATAGTATGGACTATGGCGGCTATGGTGTGCATACCTCGCTTAACAATTCACGAAATGTAACTTAAGCCGTAGTTTGGACTTTGAGTGCCCATCCCGAATTAATTGCATACATTGCAAAACTTTAAGAGTACTGATAATAAGTGAAAATAAGTGGATTAAAAACATTTCATTTCCGGAGAACTCCAACATTGATAAGCACGCACCACAAAAACTTAGATTGGCACCAATCGCAGATAATGGGTTCAAAATCAGATCTCCACCGCATTCTAGCATTATAAAAACCTTTCCAGTGGAATAAAACGAAAATATCGCAGCTTTAATTCAATATATTAATCTTAAACAAGCTAAGACAAAGGACGTGAAAATGACAAATTGTGCCACTAAAAATGAATTTAAAATAACCTTATCTACTAGGACTTATCGCACTATTTCTGTCTATCGTGCTTAACGCCGCATTTACTTTGTCTCTATTTGAAAATCTAAGGAATAACAAATATCATTGCTACCAGAAATGTTTCAAACATTATGCCTGAAACTCAGAAAGCAGTGGTTATACATGTTCCCTACATGTTCCCTACTTGTTCCCTACATGTTCCCTACTTGACTTGCTTCCTACTTCCCTACTTCCCTACTTCCCTACTTGACTTGCTTCACAATCGGATAAATTAAAAAGTTGTAGAATATTCCAAATCGTGATGTTAAGTAAGGTTTATAATCCGATTTTAAAGATTCCGAAGGTTTGACAGAAAAACGTTAAGAACCTTAATAAGAGTTGTTGATACATATAACATATTTACAATTAGCAAATAGGCTTGCAGATCAATTATTAACGAACTTGCCGACGAAGGTCAACGTTTTATGAGCGTGTGAACGAAAGATGAGATGATGTTGAATTTGTTGAAAATAATAAAGAATACCGGTAGGGCTACATACAAATGCAGATACGAGGAAGATACCATTTAGGGGTTTAGCTTTTGAGAGTGAATTAAAACATTAATTAAAACGACAGCTATTACAAGGAAGGATAGATATCAACATATAATGGACCATGCAATACACCGATATACACTGCAATACACTCATATGAGGTCCCAACGCAAGATGACCAAGATAAAGCCATGTTCTAGACCTGTTGCAGTTCAAAACAATTCTACCAGCTCCTAGATAATCAAATGATACATCGCTATAACATACGGAACACTGCCACCACGGTTTATTATTGGCATGTATCCATGTGTCATTTCATTTTAGGTCAAAGCGGTGGTCCGGACCGGTGGTCATGATTACAGAAGTCAAAGTACAGCCCCTTAATTAATTATTTTGTTGAATACACGGGTACCTGCACAAAGAAAGGATCGCTAACAGATGTAACAAATCTAGGAAGAATGCCAAGGGAAATAACACAGGGGAAACAACACAGGGGAAATAACACACCGGAACAACACTGAATATTGTAAATCCAATGCTACACAGACACTGAACCTCATTGAAATGTACCGAGTACCTGAACAGTATCGAGAATAGGGAACCAAGCAAACGAGCTTACTAAGGTCTGAACTTGTTATATTTCTTGCTACCCTAAGGGCTAAGGTCATCTTAGGGTAGCAAGAAATATAATAAAGCGAAATATAATAAAGCAACCTTGATCAAACGACGCTCTGAATAATTATATAACATAACAATCATTACTTGTGTAAGCAAATTCAATCCTCTCATGACATTTATCAACATTTACGGGGTCAAATGTAATATTTAACATGATGACGAGAAAGTTGAGTGGCATGAAAATTAAAATGAGGGCGTAGTCCTGGCTGTGAGTATCATGACTGGGTCCCAATCCTAACGTTATTTCGTCCTGAGAAGCAACTTGGGTGTCCAAAGAGTCACGTGGTGTTTCATAGTTTGTGTCAGGTGGGCGGTAGTTTGTGTCAGGTGGGCGGTGGGTCAGGTTGGCGGTGGGTGAGAAGGAACGTTAGGGTCGGCTGGTTTTATAAAGCCCTAAGTAGAACATGTTACTGAAACAGTTTTTCTTATCGTGGAATGAGGATTTCTTGGCAATTTCTGCTTCCCTTCCTACACCCAGATTCGACCGACTCACTTTCGATGTGGTAGCCGGGTAAATTTTAGTGGCTGTGTTTTTATATGACATTAGAATATATTAGTCGACCATGACCTGACAGACAAGTTGAAAATGTACGAAACACACAACAGGATCAAACAATTATTTATGGCAAGCAGTTATTAATATTATATGCAGTATGCAATGTGAACAAAAAATTAGTCGATCTCGAACAATCTCGCGTGGCGACCATTTGAAACATAATCACGAATTTAACACGAACATATTACGAATATAACAAGAAAGTGCTGGTTGGAAATCAGTAAGCTGACAGCCTATTTTTACGTGATGTACCGATCAAAAGGTAAATTACAACAGTAAAACAGCTTGTTGAAGGATCGATCCTCGACCAAGGAGTTAGGACGAGGTATTTATGAATATTGCTAACAAATGTGGTGCTTATAATATTATACACCCGATTAAGCTGTCAGTGTTGAACAGCGACAGGTGTGACATGTCAGTATAACATCCCCTGAACTAGGGAGTAGCTAAGGATCCATTGGATCTATGCGATCTCCTCGGTCGACTCAGCCCAATGATAGGAAACTTAATTGAGGGTTAAATGAGGAGGGGTACCTGTTAAAAGTTCAAGAAACTTCATAGGATACCCCTTCAGTGCATACTGTAAACATAGTACTATTAACTATTATATTAACCATTACTATTTACTGAACTATGGACCACCACCCTTGAGGGGGATCCTGACTAATAACTTGTGGCCTAACTATAACGACTTTAATGGAACTGGATCCTGGACGGTAAAGAGATAACAAGGTCTGATAAGGTGTGAAGATCAAGATGGTGATCAAGTGTTATCGGGTATCGTATCGTTTATAATAGCCAGTATTTAATAGGTTCGGTTAACAATACCCTGATACATGATTGTAAACCCGGTTACCACTGTGTACCATTGTGTACCATTGTGTACCCTTGTGTACCCTTGTGTACCATTGTGTACCATTGTGTACCCTTGTGTACCCTAGCCTAGGGTATTGTTGTGAATACCATTTAATTATGTTTACAAGAAATTAGCGGCCCAGATTTTCAATAATCGCGTTAAAATCACACTTCAATAAACGGGCCTGCAAACACAAACAGCCTAATACAACCTGTAATACCATGTCAAAAATAATATGAAGCGTTTTACGGTTTTAGGGGAGTAATCTGATACAAAGAGGATAAGCTAAACAACGATAACGGGGACGACACGGTGCTTCCTAGTATTACGTATTATCTTATTCAAATCATACACAAGTAACACCTAAATAAGAGGTTACCTAGGCCTAATTCTAATAAATTTGCGGAGGGACGTCGAAATTATGGGTCTTCAAGGGCTGGCCGAGAGTTTGCAAAGAGTCTCCTGATATCTGTGGGCTGTGGCTATTAAACAAATGAACTTGTACCAAAAACGTTGATTGAATTCAAATTAAACTGTCGTCGGTCGTGGCAATCGATTTTACTGGTTTTACATTTGATTTACTATAGAAATATAGTAAAAACGTGATCCTTGTGCTGCGTAAACCTAACAAACTGCCGTTGTACTTATAGCATAATATGGCCTTGTGTTTCAGGTTGTTTGTTAGTTTAAATAACGGATCTTTTTATTGTGTGGTTTAAAAACGAATACAAGACAAATGTGAAAGGTGGTTGAGCTAGCAATGTAAAATGTACGGTGGGCAGTGAACACAAAATATGCGGTTTCCAAATATGTGGCTTAGATTATCCTTTTTAGTGATGTAATAGTCTAAAAGCATGTCCCGAATCTTAATTAATTAAGATTCACAGAAAATATACAATAAGCAACTCAGGAAACACTATCACGCGAGATTTATTTAGCCTGTATTAAGTATTAAACGTAGAGATGTAATATTCAAGAGGCTGTATTGTTCTCCATGATGTAATGATACTGATTGGTCAGTTTATAATTTTAATATTAGTGTGATGTTCCAACGTGACTACTTTAATTGTTTATCTAAATCTAGGATTACAAGATTTGTAGTGCAAATGCACTTTAACGCACGGAAAAATCATAACGCACGAACCAACTATGGTACAGTTCTCTAGCTCTATACTAACACAAGCAAAAAAAAATCGAACAAAACGTGAGAAAAGTGACCAGGTTAACTGGATAAACATACCGGAATATGTAACTGAAAAGGAATGATCTGTGAAATGAAAGTGAATCTAGGAACTATTAGTGATCCCTCTTTCGACAAAGCTAAATAAACTGTTTAGAGACGGTACTTAAATCTGTGGCTTTCCTTTGTATGAGATTGAAGAGGTGTGGATAAAATCTAAATTCTACAAGCACACGTACTGCTACAAGCTATCTCAGGAATGTAGAACGGGCTTTTCGAGTTTACAGACATTAGGTAACCCTTTGAATTAAATTTTAAATTGACACAGTCCAATATTATTATTCTACTGAGATTGGGTAAAGGACAAAAACCGCAACAAGTAGCACACGTACTGCCATGCTATAAGCAATAAAAGCATCATTGCATCATCTACATTTTGTAATTACGTTGTTCTACGTCTGGGCAATTATCCTCTTATTATGGTAATCACTCTAAAGTCTAATGGTACCTGAACTGTGTGTGATTATAATTCTAATGTTTCAGGCTGTTCCCAAGAAGAAACTGCCGGTGTATGAGCCCATTATCCTGAAGGACCCCCCAGCAGAGCCCATTTACATGCTGGATCCCCCCTCTATCTCAGCTTTAGAACTGTGAGATATTTACATTTTATTGCAGACGATGCTACCAAAAGCTAGCGTACCGGAAAACGGCATTTTTTGTTAATTTACGGGACATTTTTTCGAAAAATTCGGGATCGGCTCGGACAGGCTTGTGGGAAATTTTGGCTATGAGTACCAAGAAGAAAAATATTTGAGAAATGAAAGAATTAAGATGCTTATATTTTGCAAGTACCTAGTAAGATTTAACATTTCTGGTAATACATTCCAGCTGCATTGTTTAGCTAAGAAAGATAATAAATCATGGGTACCATTTGTTGTTCACAGGCAAAAAAAGGTAAAATCTACGATGAAAAAAGTAAGTAGCAGGAAGTGGTTTCGATCCACCGACCTCTGGGTTATGGGCCCAGCACGCTTCCACTGCGCCACCCTGCTTGCTATCATCGGATATGTCGTCCTTGTATTTTATTGCTGCTGATAGGGCTGATGATTCTAAATTTTAGTCGGGCGTTTCTCTTCATGATAATAGTGATCTATTTTAAAAATGTATACATATCCAGAACGTTAAAGTTTGTTTAAAAGAAGCTGATGTCAGGTGATCATCCCAGTTTCGTTTCATACAACATGGTTAATACTTTACTGGAATGGAGGCTTTTGTCTTGTTAATGCCACTTTTCACTCTCCCAGTCTCATTATCTTGGTTTCCATACTCAAAAATACGGGATCCCGTCTATTAAGAGTCTTCTGTCTTAGCTCCTGGCTCCGGCCTGCTCCTGGGTCACTAGTGCTGGCCGTACTGGCTGCAGGTTGCGGCGTGTAGTGGTGGACTTTACTATACCCGCCAAACAGTGCGCGCAATAAATCGCTTATTACTAGCCAAACTACTATGTTCAAAGTGCTTTTGCGATCGTGCGTGCGCAAATTTAACAAGATCAGATAAATTTAATTATAATTAGTATGTGATTTTGGGTTACAATAACTAAAAAAACTATCATAACTGGTCATTGAGCAGGTTTTGCCGTTCAAGGCATTCTAAATGTACGATCCACAAAATACTTCTTAAACAATTGTTGCGATGTTTAGAAAGGTCTACATTACATAGTGATCAGCAAGCAGGGTGGCGCAGTGGAAGCGTGCTGGGCCCATAACCCAGAGGTCGGTGGATCGAAACCACTTCCTGCTACTTACTTTTTTCATGGCGGTCTTCATTTACAAAAATATATTTGTCTGTGATCGAATAGTGCTCATAATTTGTGCAGTTTTCTCCGCTGGACACAAAATCTTGAAGGTTTCACCATGAATGCTCATTGCTAATTGATCAAGTATAACGAAACAGATGGTTCGTGAATTGTGTACCTTTTCTGCTACGATCAGCCTGCAATCTTCATCGTGGATCAGATTTGTTAAGCATCTTTATCGGTCCAGATGATGAATACTTGATTGAATCAGAAAGTTGCCTAAATGTCACCATCCGATTAGAACAGAAAACAGCCTGCCCCCTCCCCACAGTTAAGTAAGCCGTAATTGGTTATCAATCAAATTTCACGAATGAAATTTAAACTTGTGGACTCCAAGTACATATTGGATGCTTAAAATTCTTTATTATCGTTAAGGAATGTATGTTTAAGAAATTTGTGATAGTAATAGAAAATTGGTCATAGGTGAGATTCGAACCTACGGGATGAGTATATATTAACACAAATTAAACCATTTTTGGATACTAAATCCACCACAGATTATGAATCACCTTTTTTAATTTTCTGTAAAAAGAAAAGATATTCAAAAAGTGTCAGAAGTGGGATTTGAACCCACGCCCACATTCGTGGACCAGAATGCTCATTCGTACGATTGCAAGATAACTCTTGAGTCTGGCGCCTTAGACCACTCGGCCATCCTGACATGATGTTAAAGGCATATTAGCTCTCTATATACCGCAAAATTAAGCCTACGTCACTTCACCGTCATTACCAGGTAAATTATAAGCAGCTCAGTAGCTGCATCATATGTCACATGGTGCATATAACGCGATAAGATCATTTACTGCTACAACTATATATTGTAACGTGGTGAAACTATCGGACTACTAAACAACGTGACATATGATGCAGCTACTGAGCTGCTTATAATTTACCTGGTAATGACGATGAAGTGACGTAGGCTTTATTTTGCGGTATATAGAGAGCTAATATGCCTTTAACATCATGTCAGGATGGCCGAGTGGTCTAAGGCGCCAGACTCAAGAGTTATCTTGCATTCGTACGAATGAGCATTCTGGTCCACGAATGTGGGCGTGGGTTCAAATCCCACTTCTGACACTTTTTGAGTTTCCTTTCTTTTTACAGAAAATTAACAAAGATAATTCATAATCTGTGGTGGATTTAGTATCCAAAAATGGTTCAATTTGTGTTAATACATACTCATCCCGTAGGTTCGAATCTCACCTGTGACCACTTTTCTGTTACTATCACACATTTCTTGATCATACATGTTTAACATACACCTTAACATTGTAGAAGTGTTTATAAACTTGAAAATTAAAAAATACGTGCTACGAAAAATATGCTGCGACCCCCCCCCCTCCTATCATACTTTGTGCAGCACAGAGCAATATGCTGCAGAGTGTGATTTATTTCACCTAACCGTGTGTATAACGTTATAAGATCATTTGCTGCTGCAACTATATGTACGTTCTTCATTGAAGTAGTCAGTAAAACAAGGACATGATACTATGTATATATTGTAACGTTCTGCAGTTCTGCTGTGAGTGCCTATTACATGATAATACATAGTTGGCATATTTCCAACAATAAACGTTCAGACACTTTATGAAGATGTAATGTTGACACAAGCCGAGCTGTTGTTAATTGTCGTGATCATTACATGCGAGATTACTGATTAGGCTATACACTATACACTATACAGTATACCTTGTGCTGGTCCTTTGTGTTAGGAAGGACTATTAGCCCTCCCGGGTCATAAGGAAACCGATTTTCCAATGTATAGCCTAATCAGTAATCTGTAATCTCGCATGAAAAGAGCGGGACGAGTAACAATAGCGCGGCTTGTGTCTACATCTTCATAAAGTGTCACGTTTATTGTTGGAAATATGCCAACTATGTGTTATCATGTAATACTAATAGGCACTCAGAGCAGAACGTTACAATATATAGTTGTAGCAGTAAATGATCTTATCACTTTATATACACCACGTGACATATGATGCAACTACTGAGCTGCTTATAATTTACCTGGTAATGATGGTGAAGTGACGTAGGCTTTATTTTGCGGTATATAGAGAGCTAATATGCCTTTAATATCATGTCAGGATGGCCGAGTGGTCTAAGGCGCCAGACTCAAGAGTTATCTTGCAATCGTACGAATGAGCATTCTGGTCCACGAATGTGGGCGTGGGTTCAAATCCCACTTCTGACACTTTTTGAGTTTCCTTTCTTTTTACAGAAAATTAACAAAGATAATTCATAATCTGTGGTCGATTTAGTATCCAAAAATGGTTAAATTTGTGTTAATATTATACTCATCCTGTAGGTTCGAATCTCACCTGTGACCACTTTTCTGTTACTATCACAAATTTCTTGAGCATAATTTTAAACATACAACTTATAACATTGTAAAGGTATTTATAAACTTGAAAATTAAGAAAAAAGTGTTACGAAAAATATGCTGCGACCCCCCCCCCCCCCCCCCCATCATACTTTGTGCAGCACAGAGCAATAGGCTGCAGAGTGATTTATTTCACCTTACTGTGTATATAATAATGTTTCTATTCGCCCAGGGACGTGGTAAAGCTGACAGCGCAATTTGTTGCTAAGAACGGAAAATCCTTCCTACAGACCCTGATACAGAAGGAACAGAAGAACTACTTGTTTGATTTCCTGAGACCCCAACACGGACACTTCCAATACTTCACCAAACTTGTTGAACAGTACTCGAAGGTATGGTTGTGAGGTTATACTTATAGTTGAAATTGTGGTATGTGCCCCGTCGTACTGCTCTGGTCGAGCTTGGGTGAGTGAAATTAGAAAACCTCGCAAGAAATAAGTCCATAGAACTAAAATAGTCATTCAAACGAAAATAGTCACTAGAACGGAAAAAGTCACTAAAACGGAAGTTTGTCTCTGCAATGACAGTTAGTGGAGTAACACAGTTAGTGGAGTAACACTGAAAATACACGTGAACAAGACAAGGTGGGTAGTGTTTAGCAAGTATAGATGTAACAGTGTGTCAATTGTTTAGGATAAAAGTCGGAAAAGCAGTTAACTTGATCAATTAGCACATGCTAAGGAGTCTTCCGCAACATTTTACAAAATAATTCATATGCTAGAGATATTCTGCTGAACATTATTCTGCCAATTACGGATAGTCTGATACTCGACAAAATGTAAAAATCAATAAATGAGGTATGAAAATGGTTGCGGTATCTAAACTTCTAGACCTTAAATGCTTTCATTTCTCAATTTGGTACGTCTGTACTAAGCTGTAAAATATCGAATTGAGCTCTAAGCTGGACAGCAGCTTGTGGTTTTCTATTGTCCAGTCAAAATTCAGGGAGTAGGGACATAATAATCTTCTTGGAGAATTTCCTTGCAAATTGAAATCAGCGCTAACTAAGCGACGAATACCAAATTCGCTGCTTTTAGAGGTTCATATTATTGCGCTTGCCCAAAAATCACGTGTGACTTGGGTTTTTACGATTTTGCAGCCGAACAAAAAAGTTTTGCATAAACCCCAACCCTAACCCAAGCCATAACCCTGAAGCTAACCCTTACCGCAACCATAAGGACAACCCTATAACCCTAAAAATTTATTGGGGAGCGGCTTTTTGATGTTTGTTTCCGTCATCTGCATGTCAACAACAATTTAGTAAAGTCGTGACTCTTAACTCGGTAACTTTCTGAACTTTATGAAACTTAAGTCATTGACTGCGACATAACTCTCTTATTTGTCGTGACGGACGATGTTGAATGTATCGTCGTAAGACTCACCTCAATTATTTTATAATTTATAACACTAATACATTATAACTAATTATTGGTATTATGATATTCTACATTTCACCTCTAACCCGTATTTATGTCAGATTCCCAGTATCTTACCCTGCTCAGCAAGATGGTCAGGTAACAAATAACAACTCTATGAGATGTTCAGGGGAATAAACCACTGGCCGAGTTGGGATGAGGGATAATCAGTAATATCACACATTAATATCACACATTATCACACATGTCAGGGAACCTTGTTGTTGGCATGTTAAACTCCGAGGCGCTGGTATTTACCAAAATAAAATATAACATGAGTATCAAAGAGTATCAAAGAGTATATGTATGTATGGGTATCAAAGAGTATGGGAGTGGAATCGAGAGTTTCGGAGCAAATCGAGGCCATGAGCCGAGCAAGTGGAGGCAATGAGTGGAGTCAAGTGGGGGCAACGAATTAGGCAACCTCACGAACCAGTTGTGAGTCCTGTGTTTAAACTCCAAGCTATTTTAGTTGGTTCCGCGAAAGTGGGTGACCCTTATTTGGCCTTATCGATATCCTGTCGAATAGCTAGTAGCGTCATGCTTAGTGTAATAGCCTAGGTCACTAGGTCGATATCCTGTCGAATAGCTAGTAGCGTCATGCTTAGTGTAATAGCCTAGGTCACTTACATATTGTTTAAGTTTGTACGCATACTTAGCATAATAGCATAGGTTGGTTAGCCTAAAAATAACATCGAATAACACTAACAGTAAATTGTAAAAGTGTTCAAACAACGGTACTGAGCGAAGGGTCTGGTTGGATGGAGGTCGCCTCTTGTTTTAGTTAACGTTCAAGTGTTCCTAATTTCAGACAGTTTGAGTCTATAATGAGAGATTAGTGTCCGCAAGTTAACGTCATTATCATCATCGACATCAACGTGCCTAATTATATCTAATTAGGCAATTATTTCCTAGAAAGTCTCGAACGTTAAGGTTCCTGAAGTTGGGGGGACATTATTTTAAATTGCCGATGCACGATTATGGTTTAGGATCTTTAAATAATTAGGAGTCATAATTTTATAAAGAGAGCTTTAAATTGCTGGAAGTAGACCATTAAGGTAAGAGAGGAAAAGAAGAGGGTTTAAGAATTCTTCAGAAAAGAGTAAAATATCTGAGTTTAGGCATGGGTTTAGGATATTGGAGAGGGTATAAAAGAAAAGGGTAAAATATCTGAGTTTAGAATATTGTAGAGGGTATACAAGAAAAGGGTAAAATTTTTGAGGTTATGGGATTTTGTTTTAGAGAGGGTATAAGAATGAGGTAAAATATCTGAGGTTATGGGATTTTGTTTTAGAGAGTCGAGGGTATAAGAATGAGGTAAAATATCTGAGGTTATGGGGGCTTGGTCGGTGGTTCGGTACAGATAACAGATACTACACGTCGATGTATCCGCTATATATCTGTTAAAAGAGGAATTGCGCCAGGTTGCAAAAAAAGTTCGAATCTCAATCAATCAAACAATTTTTAGATTTTTTGTTTTTTTCAAAGATGCGACTATGCGGATACATCGACTCCAATTTATGTTTGCTTTATTCATATTTACCGTCTCTGATTGGTGTTATCAAATCTTAAATAGTCTCAATTGTTGCAATTTAATTTTGTACTGGTCGTTTGATTAACGACACTTTAGAGTTAAAACATATGGCAGCCTATAATACAGCATAATTTAATCCCCAAATGATCCCTACTGTCGAGCATCCCTATTTAGTATTTACATATTATTTGTTGTGAAAACTAAGCCTGGCCCCAGAGTTGGCTACCTTCACTAGGCTGCCATGTGATGATATGATTACGGGAGAGATCTGCAAGGAGCACATCTCTACCCGACCACCTTGTCTACTAACCCAACACTGCGCAGGTTGTTATAGAAACTCTTAGTAACGCGTGACATGACGTCATAGTAACGCGTGAAATGACGTCATGTCATCACGGTCACGTGATTCAGGTAAATGTGTGAAATTTAGGAGTTTTAATTATGTTGAAGCGGTTTCCTTAGATCTACAAGGTTTCTTCTCAGATCCTGCTGCCGGAGACAAAGATGCTGGAGAAATTGAAACTGGAAGATAAAAAACCGTCCGCCCTCTTAGACAAGGTACTAAATGAACCGAATGATAAACTAAATATCACTAATATAATGATAAAATACATAATTTATGTATTATCAATAAATACTAAAAGTTTTTTCTTTAATTTCTCTGTGGAAAGCTCAAACTGGAACAACTAATGAGTGATTCCGGTTTGTATTTATCATACAAAAGGATATTCATTTATAAGGACCCTTTGTTTACTTTGCCGCGGTTTGCGGGTAACCTTGATTTGCCTAGGTTTCTATCTTCCCCCGGAATTTTATACTTCAATGCGCTTTGTGTTGATTATTGAAGCCCATTCTTACAGAAAAATGTGTTGTGATTCACATTCTGAACATCCTATAAGGTCATCAATTTTTGAACATCCGAACAACCTCTTCTCTTCTTCGGTGATAAGGTTTTATGCGAACAATCTTTTTCAGAACATCCTCAATGAATGATGTCAAATTTAAGGTTAAGACTGGATCTGGAGGAGTCATTTTAGGGCCTACGAAATAATTTCTACCGGTATTTTGTTGAGCTGAACATCCTACACCCTTTGAACATCCTTGATTTGCTTGAATCTAAAAAAGGCGAGCTGAAGGCCAGTCTTACCGATTCTAATCGGACGTATGAGAGCTACTTCAGCTAGTGAGTTATGTCCGATTTAGGGGTAAGACTGGATCTGTAGGAGTCATTTTAGGGCCTACGAAATAATTTCCACCGGTATTTTGTTGAGCTGAACATCCTACACCCTTTGAACATCCTAGATTTGCTTGAATCTAAAAAAGGCGAGCTGAAGGCCAGTCTTACCGATTCTAATCGGACGTATCAGAGCTACTTCAGCTAATAAGTGATGTCAAATTTAGGGTTAAGACTGGATTTGGATGAATCATTTTAGGGCCTAAGAATTAATTTCCACCGATATTTTGTCAAGCTGAACATCCTACACCCTTTGAACATCCTCGATTTGCATGAATCTCAAAAAGGCGAGCTGAAGGCCAGTCCGTACAGGTTCTATTCGGACATATCAGTTCGGTTTTTCATAATCCCGGTATCCACGGTTTATCTGTTCAAGATTCAACATGTCTGATCCGTCCCCTCTCAGGCAATGTACAAAGTGGAGTGGTTGAAGTATCAAGAAAGAGTAAAGAAGAAGGAGCAAGATGATAGAGAAAAAGAGAGAGGTAAGCATCAGAAAACATCAGGGTCTTGCTGTGGAAAATTGTGAATATTCGATTTGTTGGCTCGGCTAGATTACCTGTTGGACAATCGCATGCTCTTTCAAGAAATAGTGAGTATACGGAACATTGATCCGGTTTTAAACATGTTGATTAATTCCTGGAGGAGTAATCAGCTCTATTTCATTGTATCAATTTTAAATAACTCCATTTCAGTTTCGTTTGCGCAGATAGACTGGCACGACTTTGTGGTGGTAGAGACGATTGACTTCCCTGTGGATGAGGCGGGAGACCTTCCTCCACCGGTAACCCCCGACGAGTTGGGAGCTAGACTCATTGCTCAGGAGCGATACGAGAGAATGAAGGTATTGACTATTGAGTTAGTACAAGTTCTTAAATTAATATAAGGGTAATACTAGAATAATCAGCGTCATCTTCGGTCGATCGTATTGCTGTCAGCTATCTGTCTGTTTAATGACATAACGTTTCCCAGGAGCATCCAGAGGAGTTCACAGGAGAAGATGATGAAGATGATGAAGAGGAGGAAGAAGAAGAGGGAGAGAAGGAGGAGAATGATACTATGGACGTGGAAATGGAGGTTACAGACGATGAGGCTGAGGATGAAGATGCCTTCAAACCTCCACAGGTAAACATTTGTTATTGCGAGGGGATGTATCATATTCGTCAGTTTTTGTATGGTTTATTTGAACTAACTCTTGAAATTTAAAGGTTGCGTTTTTAAAATAAAATAAAAGAAATGAAACTATAGGGAGCCCTGTCCCGGTAGAAATTGGTAGAATTGGAGTCAAATACCATCAATATTGTGCCTTCTTTTTGTGAGAAATATTCCCTTACGGACTTTCCTTTCAAAAGTGGGAACGATTTGTACGATAGCGTACCTGGAAAAGGGATTTATTGTTGTTGATTTACCGGCAAGATTTGAGAAATCCAATTTTTTTTGAAAAATTCGGGATCAGCTCGAGCAGCATTTTACCTAGGAGTACTGGGAAGAAAAATATGTTGAGAGGTAAGCCTACGAATATCCGCTTACTAAATTATCATGAAATGGCTGATTTCATCTTTGATGAGATGTTGGATATCTGAGTTAAAGAAAGATTTCTTCTTCGAAAGTAAAATAGATAGAAATTCCGGTTTTTTGCAAAATGTTCGCCTTGTAAATATAACGTTTCCTCCCCAGGAGGAAAATTAGGGACATTGTAGATTTTGAGTTATCCCAAAAGTCTTATTTTTGGCCTAATAAAAGTTCGCCGCTTTAACTTTGCAGATTCTTGTCCTCTGTTTGGTCGAATTGCATCAGGTGATGATTGCATTCTTGCAATGCGTGAAGCGTACATTAAACTTACGAGCGCGTGCAAGCTTGACCACGCTGTGAAAACACGATCACCTCAAGTAATACGCCCAGCCAGTAAGGTTTACTGGGGTCGAATTAAGATCGCCTGCGCCATTCATAGCTTATGATTTGATTTGTGACGAATCCCCCAGGGATGGAGCGGTGTAGGAATCGTGGATCTTGTATGCTGAGAGTAGGTCGTGTATTTTTTAATTATTAAAAAAACAATTTTAAATTTAAAAACCTGGTGTATCGCATGTAGGGACCTCGCACCAGTCCCACCTTACGTCTGAGGTTGTGTAACACCATGTTTCATGGTACTTCTCTGTTGGGTTCCTGCAGTAGTTGTGATCACCTACTCCTTTGTCACCATATTTGTCCGGAGTGTAGTGATGCGTGTGAGGTGATTGTTCAGTCCATTTCTGACAAGTTAAACCACTCTTTGTCACGGACTGAGTTCCTTTATACCCAGATCCCTTTGCGTCCCTGTCATCTTTGCTCCAACAACCAACACCTACAATTTTACTAGGTATATAACTTTTAAAAAGGCACCAATGGAAAACGAAAACTTAGATTATAAATCTTATAAACATATCCCCGAACCGTAACCCACAATTGACATTGATCAAAGCTTGAAATTTGTGATAAAATAAGCTTTTTACTCACCGTTTGCTCCCACTGAGTTCAATAAACAAGCAGCGACGCAGAATAAAACCGTCTTGTACATGTTTACCTGCATACTTTGACTTTGTATAGGGGTCGTTCACATATTAAACGTAATCAATATTTCAGCAATTTTTAACCCCCTTTCCTTTCCGTAATCAACCGTAATCAAGACCAGCCCCTTCCTGACAGCAAAATTACGATTAAATCATTGCCTGACCCCCCCCCCCCTTTTTGACTTTTTTCCCTGGAAAACACTTTTCTCTACGTTTCATGCTACCCTGATGACTGATCATTATGAGCCGAAATCATTGTTTTCAGTTATGATATCCGGCCAAGCACCTTCCAAACTACTTACTTAAGCAGCCGGATATCCTAAATTTTATCACTATCAGAGTGAAATTGAGTGGAATTTCAATTAAAATATTGTCAAATTGTTTAAATTATTCTGAGGGTAAAAAAGAAAATTTTAATTATGTTATCAACAGCCCCCCTCCCTGTAATTAACCGTAATTATTTGGGAACCCCTTCCCCCCTCGGCTGATTACGTAATATGTGAACGACCCCTTAGCATGGTTCTGAATTAATAGATTATAAGCACTGAGGAGGGAGGAAGGAGGTAGACAATGCAGAAACACACGAGAGAAAAAACGGAAAACGTTTTAAAGCAAGTCTGAGGTTTGCTGAGCGGAAAAAGAACACGTGTCGTTCAACTAACAATTCACTGTATAAAGCTATGACGAGCAGGTCTGTACACAGATTCAAAGCATGTCTGGACTTGTGATCATTATACTGCAAAATGCAAATATCTAAATAAAGTAGAGTAGTAACCTTCAGTGTAAGCGCAGAGTTGCTAAATAACAAATCTGAAAAGGGACCTTAACCGATTGTTGAAATTCGACATCTAGCGTAATCTAGCGTCATCTAGCGTAATCTAGCGTCATCTAGCGTCATCTAGCGTCATCTACCGTCATCCAGCGTCATCTAGCGTCATCTAGCGTCATCTAGCGTCATCTAGCGTCATCTAGCGTCATCTAGCGTCATCTAGCATCTAGATGACGCTAGATTTCGAATTTCAACAATTGGTAAGGGTCCCTTAAAAGCTATTATAATTTATGCTCCTAGCGAAATAACGGCAATTACACAAAGGACTAAACAAAGACCACACCTGCACTGAGCATATAGTCAAAATATGCTAAGCAAGAGCTCCTGAGTCAAGTTCTTGAGCCAAGTACCACCTGCAGAATCTCGTGGTTATGAATTAGAACGGCAAGACAGTCTCCGAGCTAAAATTAAGACAGGAAGATGCACCTGCCTCAGTATTCCTGTTGAGGTTGAACAAGGAACCTACTGCTCTGCGGTTTTGGCTGCCGGGCCGGAAAAAAAATTCTCGGCACTTTTACAACCGAGAAATATTTGGTCAATAAAAGTATATCTGGTATTAAGGAATAAACTGAATTATAGCTTGAAACAGCTATTGGGCGACAAATATAGGAGAAACAACGACATTCGACACTCGACAATAATCATCACAGTTAAGTAAAAATATAAATGATAAAATAAACGAAGGACCAACATCAAGGAAATTTAACGTTACTTTTTGTCAAGTGAAAAGCAAGCGAAAAGTCGCACATTTCGTGGAAATAAATACGGGTATATGCCTCACAGAATGGCCAAAAAAAAAGAAAGGTCTCTCAAAATCACAAAACACACTTTATTCCAGTTTTTATCTCATAAGAAGCTAAGTTGACACTCATATTTTTCTTCCCGGGGGTTGATTTAATCTCATAACTATTTTTTCTTTGAGAAAAATTGGCCGGAAAATCTTCCTCCAAAAAAACATGCCTCACAGAATGGCCAAATCTGAACTTCTATAATTTTTTGATGGAGATACTTTTTAAATTTCTATCACCACACGTTGTTAGAAAACCTATTAAGGAATGGGGTAAATAACCTAAAACTCACGAAAAAACTGAGCTTTGAAAAATTATTTCACAAACAAAAACAAATGCCTCACAAAATGGCCAAAAAAAAATGAAAACGAGAAAATTTTATTTTTCTAAAACCTTTGGCTCTTGTTTCAGGCATGCTGCTGGTATAAATATGCCTTGTTAACACCCCCATATAAGTGAAATTTCTTAGAACTGAATAAAAAAGGCATAATTTCCTACACCAAAAATTGCCATTTTGTTCATATTCCCTGATTTCATGATTTATAACCTTCATTCGGCTGTAAAAACACTCCATCTGAGGTGTTATTGTATGATAAATAGCTTGTGAATACTTTAGACCATCAAAACTAACATGTCTACATCAATAAAAGGAGTTTTAAATTTTGGCCATTTTTTTAGGCATATTTTGGCCATTTTGTGAGGTGTGTAGCCATTTTAGCGTTTTTTTCTTCCTATATTGAACAATGTTCGTTTTTTTTTGATGAATACTATTCTTTTTTTTTTGTTGGGGACCGGCCCGAAGTACCAGCCAATGTTTACTCAAAAAATAATATATATAATAAGTGTTATCAATTCAAACTCAAAACTCATACAAGATTAGATCTCATTAAAACGATTAAAATGTATATAATAGAGCTTGTCGAAACAAAACATAGCTGAGCACATATAAAGTTGCCTTTAGTTGAAATTATCATATTAATATGCTTTTAGAGTTGTTAGAGTGGAAACAGGCGCATAGCTACTGCTAGCTAGCTATTCCAAAATTTTAAAAATTTAACGACTGTCGCATAGCGTCATGCCGTTTTTGCTGGCGAATTGATGGCAGTGTAACTGAGATGGTATGCAGTGAAATTGATTCTGTGATGGCTTGCTTATGGGACAGAGTTATTATTAGCATTACGGTTGATGTTGCGCTCTGATTTCCTTAGTCCCGTTATATTGTACTAGCAGGAACCCGTCAAACCTTTAAGACTGGTGTCAAGACTCAAGGCTCTATGGTGGCCGGATCAGTTTCCTACCCTAAAGTCTCCCAGTAAAAATAATTATTACCTATTTAATTCGCGTTTTTGACACCACTTGGGGGTCTAAATTTTGGGTACTAAAATTCTTATTCCTTGGCCGATTTTCGATTTTTTCATGCTGATTTGAAGGCCATTAAAGCATTTGAATCAGTTAAAAAAGTTTCAGTTTTATATCTTGTACGGTTTTTGCGGAAACCCGTGTTAAAGTTGATGCCGTGGTGTCAGTAAAATGGTGCGGATAAATAAATATATATATATATATATATATATATCGTCTCGCTTTATATATAGTAAGATAACATAAAGTTAGGCCATTCGTCTGCAATGCCCTCGTTTTGTTGATCAATGAGCATGTTTTTTATGCACCTTTTGTAGATGTTAAGGTTGAATAGACTTGGCAAGGAAGTTGCTGCGACACTATATCTGTTTATTGCTAATAGTGGACCTTTGTAGAATACTGAATTATTGTAAGGGTGTTTACCGTATTCATCTGACCATAAAGTTGTAAGACTCGAATCCGGATCGGCGACGTTAAATATTGGTGCACTGTTAGGTATTGTTTTCTTTATAGAGGGAGGCACTAGACTTGGGAAGTTTTTTAGCTTATGTATAAAAACTAATGCGTTCTTCACGATGATACTTTGAACTGTTAATATTT